AGATCAGAAAAAAAGAGTAAGATGAACACCTTGCATCTGAATCAGTACCTTCTAACTCATATTCTCCTAAAACAGCTTCGCGGTTCCTCGCAATTTGAACCAGCTCTTTTATTTGATCTGAATTTTTTTTTATTTGAATCGAATTTTCTTCCGTAATTATCAAAATACCCGAAAGTATATCAGAAAATGATTTGATTGTATCGCTAGTACCTTCTGAAAATTTCTAAAACAATATCCTATGAGTATTGTATGACGTATCGGAATTACAATAATTTACTTCAACAAAAAAAGAAAATTACCAATTGCTCAAAATCATGCGTAATGCCCTCTATGGAAGTGTCTATCGGAATAAAGAAAGAAATGTTAAGCTAAAACGCGTTGAATTTTGTTATTAAGACTTATTTATCAGCAACGGGTTGCTCTACGATAACGCGAATGTATTTTTTTAAGCGGGTTTGATGATAAGAAGCCGGAAAGAATAAGCATACCAGACGACAATTCTTTCAGTAGCGCGAGTCTCTCATTATAATTATCAGGTGGAATTGTGTCGAGAGCCTCTGATACAAAGTTTATATTATTCGAGTTTTTGATGAAAAATGCGCGTAATTTAACCCTCTCTGTTGTTGAAAAACTCTCTTCATTAAGATTCAAGTTGAGTCGAGCAATCTCTTGACAAATAGCAGATACTTTTTCATTTCCTGTAGCTGAGCTAGTTGCGACAGACATTTGGTTTATTTTCGCAGAAAGATATACAAAATCGATTGTCGCACGCTACTGGCTTAATACAAAGATTATACTTTATAAGAAAAGCCGTGACGTAGTTTTTTACATATCAGGTGTACAGTATTTAGAGTTAAAACCATTAGAGGTTAAAACAGAGTTTGACAAACCTAAAGAAAGTCATAGTCAAGAGCATTGCCAACATTGTATAACGAGTCATGCGACACATATAAGACACTTTGAAGCTTATATTTCTTGAACTCAAATAAAAAGGAATGCTGACAAACATTATTCAATTTTAAAAAGTATGAATATTTTTTGATAATGCATTGAAATGAAATTTCCATTCAGGATTTTTGAGAAATTTATTAATTTTGGCTATGTTTTTATTAAGTTATTAACTTTGATATTAATATTTTTATAATTAAACTGACGTCTACGACCAATTTTTTCTATCTAAAATATCGATGGTATTAGTATAGATTAGAGGCCTGCAACGGGCTGGGTCCGGTGTGGGAACCCGGCCCGGACCCGGGTTCCGGGTTCAAGGTACCAGCCCAGATTTTTTTATAAATTTGGCAAAAATCATTATTTAATTAAAATTTAGTCGCATTTTTTGTATTTTTATTCATTCTAATAAAAATAATAAAATTTGTTACTGCACTAAAATAAAAAATTGAAAATTGAAAATCAGAAATAAAAAAAATAGTTTAACGAAACAATATTTTGATCATGGCAAAATAGTTAGTTATAATTTGGTAGTTGCGTTAGGTAGTATTCCCATTTTCTCAAATCCGAAACATCTCGTAAATTTAGAAGCGATATCATAATTATTTATGATTTGCACTGTATAAAGCATTGGTCGTTATCTCACACATGATCAGAGGAAAAGATTACGATAGCTATTTTGGAGAATCTCATCATCCCATTTGTAATTTTTAAAATTTTCTTGTTTAGCTTGATCAATACTAAGGGATTAAATGTAACGAGTGTAATTAGCGTTATACTCTACTGATGATAATGATGATGTAATAGTGTTTTCCCGATCAAAATAAGGTCATTCCAAAAATTTAAGTGCTTTTAGGAATAATTAATACTTGTAAGAAATCATTTTGTAATTCAATCAAATGTTGCAAAATAGCGCAAAGATTTACGCCGTCACACGATAACCAGTTACGATGATATTATTTGAACAAAATTCACTATTGACCAAAGGAATTTTACTTTTTTTAATTTATCAAAAAAAAGATATCGAAAGAAAAAATCTTGATTCATGTTTCTCTATATCCGAATAGTATTAAAAGTAATAATTTGAAAATGCTGAATTAATTATTCTTATAATTTTATTAAAAAAAATACGTTTTATTTTTGTAATTTATTAAATAAAATAAAATTATTTAATTTTTAAATTTAGCATCGCAAATATAATTAAGTCCGGGCTGGGCCCGGGCTGGCATTTTAATTCTTGGCTTAAAGTCTGGGCTGGGCTGGGCTTCAAAATTTGGACTTATGCAGGTCTCTAGTATAGATAGTTTAGATAAGTGAAAAACATCCGCATAGAATCATTGTGTAGCAAATCTATGTATTACAACTACAAGTCGAATCATATATTTTATTTCCTATACCAATAAAACATTCGAAACAAAAGTCATACATACATAATATCAAGAATTTTTTATGGGTGTGCATCAAAAAGATATAAATGTTCACATGTCAGTTTCGTATATATAATAGTGTTTATTTTATTGCATAGTGTACTAATTACTAATCGTACAAATCAAACCTTTTAAATTATATGACAAAAAACTGTCCCATTGAACGATCAGCCGATTATGACTAAATAATATAATTATATTATTTAGTCATAATCAGCTTAGATTAGGTTATTTAGTAGTAAAATAACCTGGGTATAACTAAATAATCTAGATTGCCTAAATAATTTAAATATAACTAAATAATCTGGATATAACCAAATAATTTAAATATAACTAAATAATCTAAAGTTTAATAACTTAGATATGATTAAATAATCTAATCTAATTAAATAATTTAAATATGCTGATTTTTTATACCTTCTTATTTTTCCTACTATATTCCTTACCTTTGAAATCACTTTTCTTTACCTTTTTCCTATTTATTATTTGTAATCGTGTGATTAAATAATCTAAATATAACTATAACCAAATAATCTGAATGTGCCTATTTTTATTATGTGTTGTGCGTCAATAAAATATTTTCTAATATAATTTGCATTAATGAAGTTTTATGGTTGATTGATTATTAAGTTCTATATTATAAATGCAGGTTGTCTATACCCATTTGAATTCTAAATTTTATGTTGAAGTTTCTGTCTTTCTGCACCTCTTTGATTACTTGTTAAGATATTAAGGGTGTTTTTTTTCTTTATTTATTTTGTTATCCATCAAAATGCCAAATTGTAATAAAAAATATTGTATCAAATAACACAGTAATTTGATGTAAATCTGCAATTAATTTTAGTTGATACCATAGTATAATTACTGGTTGATCTTTAGAATACATGATCTGAAGAATTACTATGATAGTGACCCAAAACTCTTTTGAAACTATTATAGAACTGGCAGAAAACCAGAGTATTTCTATCAGTTTGTTAGCTTTAGGTTAGCTTAGATGCTGAACTTAAGTCACAAACTTTTTTGAAATTTCTTTGTTACTTTCAAGGATCCAGTTTAGTGATCAATTAGTTAGAATTAGAAGTACAATAGACTTTACTATGATTAGCCCATTTGGTTACTAAAAAGTTCGCTAATCTTATAATCTAACTATTGCCTATTTATTGTCAGTTTATGTATGCTAATTTCATATCTAAGATTAAAAGTGCATTATGCATTACTATAACTAACCTATTTAATTACCAAAAAGTACTTTATACTGCAACTTAACTATTATCTATTTGTTGTTGATATATATTTAGGTTTTTTATATCTGAATCATATCTAATTACATACTATCAAGATGTAACTTTCTTTCAATTTTTATATAATATTTTTAAAGAAGATTACATATCATACCTAAGATACATACTAGTAATAAGATAGGTAAATGCCAATATTTTTATAATAGATTATACATTTATCTACCCTAAATGCTATTTATTAAGAAAATCTTTATTACTATTTCTTTTATCATCTTGCTATATATCTTTTTCGCACTCATTGAAGCATAAAATTTACGCTAAAGAAACTTTTACTATATCTAAATATATATTTATAATAGAGTAGTCTTTTTCTATTATTATATATAATATTTCTGAAGAGATTACCTTAAATATTATCTATTAAAAATATATTTATTTGCATTTTTAAAGTGTCTTAAGAGGGATTAGCCAACTTCAATATCACTTTTTGATATATTTTTATCTTACGTAAAGGCTTTATTATACTTGAATATATATTAAGAATAAGTCTTCTTTCATTATTTTTTATAAAGATTTCAAAGAAGACTTATCTTCTAGATGTATATTCAGATATTTTTCTTTTTGTATTCCAAAATTTACATTATTAAAATATATTCATATTGTATTTTCAATTAGTTAAAAAGTTAGTAATACAATATATATTATCATGACTAGTCTATTTAATTGCTAATATTTTATATAATAATTATGCAAAAGTCTTTATACTATACCTAAATACATATCAAAGTAACTCTTTTATTATTTTTATATAATATAATTATGCAGAAGGTTTATTTTCTGAATACATACCCTATAAAAAATTTGCATATGTTTTTTCATTATTATAAATAAGTTTTGTATACGTTTTTTGAAATTCTGTAACAC